TCATTTGCTGCTGTTGCTGCTTTCAGCTGCTTCTTCTGTAAATTCAAGAATTTTCTTTAACAGTAATCATTTAAAATATACTAATGATGTACTGCTCTTGCTGGCAAAATCTATGTGTTTGCAAGTTATAACAATACTGGTTCTACTCGAACCTTTAAACAAATGTTTAAATTAAAACGGTTTATTCGCAATAATAATACTTAAGCAAGTAACAATATGAGAGTTCGATAGCAGAGTAGATAGTTTGTAAAAGCAGGTTGCCAAATTACCAAACTGTCTTCTAATGTTGAGGATTAGATGGATGGTTCCAGTGGAGGTTGTTTCCAGATGATTCTCCCTGGTCCTTGGGTCCAGATGGAAGCTGCATACCAAATGAGAATAGTGAGGATTTATATACTTTGAGGTTTGCCTCTGACATCCAATCATCACTTTACAGTTGCCGAAATGTGTAGTTCATATTTATGTTTAGTAACAGGATGTTACAAGGTTCAACATTTAGGAAGGCTAATTGAATTATAACTTGGCGACACCCTAGGCAAGTTAATTAAATTATAACTTGGCCAAACCTTTATTGGTAATTAAAGATGAGCCTTCAAGCTGACTAATCAGACTTATGTTTGGCCAATGTTATAGCATTTTCTTGCGTAGGTTTTAAGATGTACATGTATATGTTGCATCAAATAATAGAGTTCAAGCATGTAAAATATAACCAAAGTTGTACAATGAGATTATTTGAATATAGTTAAGGTCAAGGTCAACAATGCAAATATTTTTTTTTCATTTTCCCAGGCAAAACTAACATATAAAGAATCCCTTGATGAGAGCCTATTTCATATTAATATATCTAAATTATCATAAGTATATTTAAATATGGTTGTAAAATACTATTAGAAATTAAGACCATGATTATAACCATCCTTTAATCTTTAATTTATTTCTTGCGGTTATAAAAATATCAGCAATTTTTAAAGAAACATAAAACACTGTTGCTTCTTTTACTTTAATAACAAACAAAATATGAAAAATGGATCAATAAAGATTTGTGATGGACTTGCTCAGTCATCAAATTGTTTAAAACAAATTAATTTAGAAAATTGTAATCTAAGTGAAAGTCAGTGAACGGGCATTGGAAATTTGCTAGAGTTGTTCCAAAATGGAAAGTATCAATATATGTAGAAATATGGAGGGTGACAGGTGAAACCATACTGGGGTGAAATCGTACCCATTGGTGGTGAATCTCTTGCTATGACCAGGTAAAACTGTTGCTGTTGATACATATGGAAATAAAAAAAATATGCTAATGTATGTATTGAAAAGCTATTATACTATATGTTAACTAAATAACATAATAGATAATAACAACTATGGAGTATAAATATAAGAATTCTGGATTAATAATTTATCAGCTAATATCCTTCCAAGCCTATAATCATCCCAGAGTTCAAATATTTTCTTCTCTATATCATCATATTTCTTTCTCTGATATATCATAATCTCCTTCTCAGAGAGAAGTTTTTTCAAAAATAAAAACCAAATCAGCCTCTCTTTTCAATTCATCAATCTACAAATAGATCATCCTTTTGGTTATACTGAAAATTTTCTCTTTTCTTCCAGCTGACTCTTCAAGCTAAAAATCTAGGAGTAATAATATCTGCAGGTAGAAAAGGTAAAGCCATCAACTTCCTCAGGTCTCTCCAGTCCTCTCCTGAAAAAAACTGGTACTTGTATATCACATATTTGTTAAAACAAATAAATTAATTATTTCATTTCTTAATTTTGTCACATTGACAGTTAAAACTTCATTCAGGTACGATTTCACCCCTATTCATATGGAAATGGGAAATGGATTTATAGAAATTTGTAATGGACTTGCTGAGTCATCAAATTGTTTAAAACAACTTAATTTTACTGTTGTAATTTGACTGATTATCAATCTTCATACATTGGGAGAATGTTAAAAAAATGTTCTAAAATTGAAAAAATTGAAAATATTGAGTTACACTGGAACACAGAAATGGATTTATGAATATTTGTGATGGACTGGTTCAATCAGCAAGTACATTAAAACAAATGGATATTAGCCAGTGTAATCTTTATGAAAATCAATCTAAACATATTGGAAATGTACTGAAAAACTGTTATAAGATAGAGAATATTAATTTATGTCAAAATGAATATATGAGAAATGGATTAATAGAAGTTTGTAATGGACTTACTAAATCATCAAATTATTTAAAATAATTTAACTTTTTTCAATGTGATTTAACTGAATATCAATCCATACTTTTTGGAAAACTGCCGAAAAATTGATCTAAAATGGAAAATATTAATTTAGTATGGAATAGCAATATTGGAAATGGATTAATAAAAATTTGCTGAGTCATCAAATTGTTTAAAAGAAATTAATTTTACTTATTGTAAATTAACTGATTATCAATCTTCTTACATTGGAAATAGAGAAATGGGAAATTGATTAATAGAAATTTGTGATGGACTAGCTCAATCATCAAATGCATTAAAGCAAATTAACCCGAGTGATTGCAATCTAAATGAAAATCAATCTATTTGCATTAGAAATTTGTTGAAAAATCTTTCAAAAATAGATTATATTAATTGATGATTAAATGTCCTCCTAATCTCTGTTGGTTTGAACTATTTTTGTCTTATAAAAGAAACAGTTGAGCACAGACAGTTAACAAACTTTCTAAACCTTTTTAGGAATAAAAAATGTTAAAGAAGTGAGTTAGTATTGAGTTGAAGCCATCTATTATACAGAGGAAAATAATATACACACCCTATAGTTTAACATATAACAATTAGTTAATATCCCAACTATGTAATATTTTAATTAAAATTGTTAAATAAATGGGTGTTTTCTACTATATTCCTTGTAAACACACCTCATTTCGGAATTATGGAGAAAACACATATTGTGTTGAAATGATTTATTTATAAATTAGCTTTATTTTTGTTTATCATTATTGTTAATTGCTGTGACATATCAATGAAGAAACGCATTGTTACACTGCAAAGGCTGCCTTCTAGTGCATCTGTTAATGAAGAAATAAGTCAAACACCAAATTTTCATACCGCAAATAATAGAAATGAGCAAACTATTGTTTGTGAAAATCATTGTGGAAATTCAAGTGGAAATGATACAAATGGCAGTATTATGGAATCAAACAATGTTTTAGTTGAAGATCTTCCAGCTCAACAAAATAATATGATGGAAGTTTCATTTATAGTTTCTCCAAAATCAGATTGTGAGAAAGAAAGTTATTCATTTAAAATCTTAAAGGGAATGAGCCAGAAAGGAAAAGATTTGCTACTTTTCAACAATTTCTGCTACAATATTAAAGAAAAAAGAAACAAGACAACATTCTGGATATGCAGTGTTAGGAACAAAAGAAATAAATGTTCAGCAACAGTTAGTCAGCATTGTAGTTCTAGTGAAGTTATTCCATCTCTAGATAATTGTACAAGACTGGCAAACTGGACAAGAAAGAAGTTTAGATCAGCTGAACATCAAAGTATTCACTTCAACTCTGCTAAAACTTTTATTCCTGATGATTTTTTACAAATGGATATACAAATGGAGAATGGGACCGGTCGAAAACAGCCATAAATGAAATATTTGAAGGTCAGATTTCAGGCTGGGAAATGGTTAGGAGAATAGGATAGCTATTGATATGTACTTAGGAGGGTCCTATCTAAGGGTTAGTGGCATTGAAAAAGTTTAGGCAAAAACAAGGGCTAGGTTAGGGTTAGGGTAAAACCATAGATTTATGGCCGTTTTCTACCACATCCGTGGAGAATGATAGAATACTAATATTTTCAACCACAAAGCAAATTGAATTATTATCTAAAGGCAAAATATGGTTTATGGATGGCACATTTAAATGTGTGAAAGACCCTTTTTATCAACTTTTTTCTATTCATGGATTTATAAAAAAAATGGAGAAATAAAACAAATTCCAATGGCTTTTGCTTTTATGGGATCCCAGAGAAAGACAGCCTACAAGAAATTATTTAAGGTACAATAATTTTGCATTTTAAATTGAATAATCTTAAATCTCAAGATTTAACAAATGGGCATAGCCCCAAAAAAGTTGTTGTAGACTTTGAAAAAGCTATTTGGAAAGCACCATCATTCACTTATCCTGAAGCAAACATTAAAGGGTGTGTTTTTCATTGGACACAGGCAATATACAGAAAGATTCAAGTAATACTATTTATTTCCAGGAATTAGGATTATGTAAGATGTACAAGGAGAAAAAAGCTGAATATAGAATCATGAAGAAATTAATGGCATTACCATTCCTGCCCTCTGATCTGATAGAACCAACATTTAAGACTATTAAAGAAATAAGTCCTATTGAAATGAAGTCTCTATTGGAGTACATTGAGACACAATGGATAAATGGATTTTATAAACCAGAGGTATGGTCTGTATATGGTGAGGCTATAAGGACAAATAATGATATTGAAGGCTGGCATCACAGGCTTAACAAGAATCTTTGCTCTAACACTGCATTCTATTTGCTTTTAGATGAACTGAAAAGAGAAGCTGATCTGATAAAGCTATATAAAAAATTACTGAGTGAAAAGAAAATTTGTAGACAGCAAAGAAAAGCATATCAGAATATTCAAAGCAAAATATTCAGCTTATGGGAACAATTTGAAATTGCCTCAATTACCTCCCTGGACTTACTTGATAAAGCTTCTGACATTTATTCACCAGTTTAAAGTACCTTTATTCTTTAATGTTGTTACACTGTTGTCAATCATTCTTGTTATAATGCTTCTTTTTACTTAATCAATATATTAATATTTAAATATTTGTAATTCTTATTATTCATTTTTTCCTGTCAAATTGCTCTAAAAACTCCATCTATCAAATATCCCTCATTTCGCCACCTATGGAATAAATCATTAAATACAAATAAGTAGTAATGAATTAGTATTGAGCAAAAATTGATTTGGTAAACTGACAAAAACGAGTAGATTTTGACCCAATTTTCAACGTTGCATTGTTAGCTCCCAAAATATCAAGTAAATTTTTAAGTTTCATATGTTCTGATTTTTTAACATGTCCAATTCGCCTATCTTAATCAATAGAAAACATGTTTTCTTTTTATTTATTGAGACCATTTTTGGTGAATACTTTAGTAAATTGATCAAACGATTTGTTAACAATGGTTGCCTATTACATGGATCCTTAAAAAGTCTTGCAAAATACAATACAACGAAGGGGATATACAATTTAAATAAATTATTCTAAAATGGCTTAGATTGCATTGTCAAGTTTATTTTTAACACTAACGCTGTGTTCAGTACGACTTCAGCAGAAATGGCGGAAGGTACTAAGAAGAAAATTTTCCTGTGGACAACACCCAGATCATGTTCAACAGCATTTGCAAGAGCAATGGCTGCAAGACATGATACAAAAGTTAGTTTAATTAGAATGATAGATTTTAAGATTTATTTAATTTTCAATTTCAACAGGTTATACTAGAACCATATGTTTCATGCTACTACTATTCATCTGAGAAACAAAGCGACAGGTATCTTGATATTTATGCCAGAAATTTTTAACATATTCTTTTCATTTTAGTAAAAAAATACTAATTAGCTATAAATAACTGAGTTGTTAAGGTGTAATCATTCAAATTATTCAACAAATATTTTTGCAGATATGAAGAAAATTCACACGAAGGTTATACTTTCAAAGAATGTAAGGAATTATGTGAAGAGGAACCGTCTGGTATGCTGTTTCTTGTAACTACTTAATATAACTATGCTTACATATTTCAGAGAAATACGTTTTCATCAAAGATATGGCTTATCAGCTAGGAGGAAGATACGATGCTATTCCAGACGGATTTCAACACACATTTCTCATTAGGAATCCAAATAAAACTGTCAGATCACTTCATGGTATAATAACGAAAGGAGAGGTTATATTCTTCTTTTAAATAGTTAGTTATAGAAGATTAATCCTAGTATGAATAACTATTTAGGACCCCGATTGGACTAGTTTCAACAAGACAGAAGTTGGATTTAAACAATTAATGGAACTTTTTAAACACATTACTAAAGTTCTAGGACATGAGCCAATAGTAATTGAAGCCGATGATTTAATCAATAATTCAGGTAAAGAAATAGTGTTTTGAAGTTACATAGAAAATTTTCTTATTTTTTTACTAATTTAATTATTTCAGTTGGTATACTCAAAAAGTACTGTCAGAAGGTCGGAATGGACTATAAAGATAGTATGGTGGAATGGGACGAATCAGCAAAAAGTTTTCAAAAGCTTCACAAGTAAAATAAATATTATTAAAAAAAATTCTACGACAAAATCTGAAAATACAATCTTTTTTTAAATCTTATTAATTTTAGCAAACAATGGCATCCGTGGCGTAAAAATCTTATTACTACAAAGAAATTTGAAGATACTCTAAAAGGAAAAGAGCAAGAAATGAATCTTCCGGAAATTTATCAGGAAGCTATTAGAGAAAGTATGGATGTTTATCACGAATTGTACAACTACAAACTAGAACTAGATTAATAAAAATAAAAAAAGTAGAAATAGCAAAGGTTTAAAGATTTAGATTAAAACAAATTTCTATTAAAATTTTCTGCGTGTAAATTTTAGAAATTCTGTTTTAGACCAAATACAATTGTGTTTTGAAAATGTTAACAATAGCGTTGCTTGAAAAGTTTGAAGTGCTTATAATACACTTTTTTTTTAGAATATTTCAATTCTTAATTGTTGAATTCAACAAATGAAATTATATTTTGTCTAAATCTAGTGTCAAAAATATAGGTCAGTATTACTCAATACAAGATCTTATTTGACCATTATATTTTGATTGTTTAGTAGATGAATAGAAAAGGCTGATTTATGCTTGTTTAGATCTGACAATTAGGGATTATCTGATTTTTGGATTATCTAGATATAGTTAAATTTAAATGTCAAAAGTCTGGGGTCGATAGAAAACGTCCACAAATGAGAAATTTCAAGACCAAAGTTTGGATTGAGAAATGGTTAGGCAGAAGAAAACAGCAACTGATTTGTACGTAGGAGGGTCTCCTCTAAGGGTTAGGGCTAATGGAAAAGGTTAGGCACAGCTAAGGGCTGGGTTAGGGTTAGGGTAAAAGCACTCATTTGTGGACGTCTTCTGTCGCATCCCAAAAGTCCTAACTAACTATATAAATGCAGTCTTGTAAACGAACAATCGTATTTTTAAGAATTGGATTTAGAAGAGAGAATTGAATGTTTTTTGCCAAAATTAAACTATAATTATAATTTAAAAACTATATCTTTCATACCAATTCAATATGATTCTTATTATTCTGGATATAATTCGATATTGATTTATGCCTATAAAGGTTAGTTCAAAAAAATCTAGTTTTAAACACAAATTTAGCCTATCCTTGCTCTTTTCTCGTTTTCAGAGAAATTTCACAAGATATTCATGATTTGGATTATTTAACTAGTATTGCACTTCTAGAACATGGAGCTAATTGTAATGCATCATCTCAACTTGATAAGTTTACATGCCAACAAGCCTTAGATTTACTTAGCAGTCTAATAAATATAAATTATGAATGGTCAGCACTTTGTAGTGAGAATGATTGTATTGGACAATTTATCTTTCAAGATTTATGGAAAGGCAATTAAATTTTGTCTTATGAATCGGTTAGTCCAATTTTTAAAAGTTTTAATTTTAAATTAAATTTTCCATTTTCTTATAATATAAGCAACACATCGCAAAATTTATTACAAAGGTCAAGGTAAAGTGAACTTCCGGTTTAGAAAAATTTTTGGATTTGGAACAGCATACACATCAACAATGTTTTGAATATAGTGACAAATACATAGAAACCGGAATATAAGTTGAAGCTATTTAAATTGCAAGCACAAAGAGTATTGGATTTAGTATTGTTCAAGTATTTATAAAAGGTACTAGGTCAAATCTTTTCAATTTTTTATAGTTAATAGACAAAAAAGAGGGATCTACTAAAAAAAATAAGCCTAACTGATTTATACTTGTTTATACCCTAAATTAGATTCACTAGGAAAAATATTTATTATTCAAAATGACCAAGCAGTTTTCTATAACCTTCCATCAACCCTTCAAAATGGTTTTAGATCAATAAGTCTAAGTTTATATGGAAAGGCTAATAATGAAAATCAATGGGGTAGCACCTTCAGACAAAACTCTTGACAATTCATTATGAAATTGTTTTCTAAGAGAACATTGGTTTTCTTCAATATTTTTTAAAATTTTAAGAATTTAACCTTACATTGAACAGCATTTGTTATTAATATTAACTAGGTCGACAAATTTTCCCAAAATTTTTCTACCAGTTGAGTAGATCACGGAATAAATATGATCGCATCCAATTAATTTACATATTTCATTTGAAAATTGTTTTCTTTTCCATAAATAATTAACACGATAAGAATTTTTTCCAATTAAAACTTTTAAATATCCTTAAATATGATCATTAGTTTCCTGGAATACTTTCCACCATTTTCTAATATTCCACTGGAATATGATAACTGAAAAAGTATTTGAATATTTTGTATTAACAATAAAAGGACAATCATTGATAAAAGAAAAAAGTGAACTATATTTAAAAATTTATATTTACTTTTTTATTGCCATTTGTTATAATGTTATTAACTTTATTGCTTTATTTGGATACGACAGAAAACGTCCACAAATGAGTGCTTTTACCCTAACCCTAACCCAGCCCTTAGCAGTACCAAACATTTTCCATTACCCCTAACCCTTAGAGGAGAGCCTCCTAAGTACAAATCAGTTGCTGTTTTCTTCTGCCTAACCATTTCTCAATCCAAATCTTTGTCTTGAAATTTCTCATTTGTGGACGTTTTCTGTCGACCCCCCCGATTTATCTGTATAACTAATTTCAATAATAGCAATAAAGCTATTTCAATAGTGAAATTTTCTTTTCAAATATCTATTTCAGCCATTATAAAAAAAATCATGCATGATTTATATCTCTTTTTTTCGCATAGTTTTTAAACTATATCTACACTTAGAAATAATGACATAATGATATTAAGACTTTAGATATAAAGCAACTTTAAAAGGAAATCTAAAAAAATAAGAATGATAGAAGTTTAGAAAGAATCCTACTCCGTAAGAATGGAACAATCATGTTTTACAGAAATTCTGGTAATTGACACTATTGAATTTTTTAGATGTCGTCATTCTATCCTCCATTGCATTGATCTTTGCTCAACACGGAGAAAGAAAAAGAATGAAAGCTATAATTTTAAATATAAGCATGTAACGTCTACAATGGTAATAATAAGAAAAGTTGGCCATTGAGCCAAACGATATGATCATCAACTACGTGTATTAAGTAAATGAGTACCAATCTTACAGTAGAGTATAGTCTATGATTAGGAGATTATAGACTAATGAACTCGGGAAGTGCATCTTCATTTATACACTTACCAAAGGTTTTTTTTTCCTCAATCTCTTCTATGTCAGGAAGAACATCTTCCATAATGAAGGAGCTGTAGTTTTGGCATTCAACCTTCTCTCTATCCTCCAGACTTCAATTACACCATCAGAGGTTATCAACCATCCCTATTGTCTTGCTCTGTCTGCTTAAACTTCAAGATGTTACTAGCTAATTATGGTGCCATTCCTAAAACTCTTGCTGTTGCCCTTATTTTCCCTTTTTGCTTACATCACTATTGCATAATTTGATAACCCTTGACCCTGTTTGTTGTGAACAATCCTTATCTGGGGTTAGACTCTTGTTGCTGACAGCTAAGGCATAAACAACTGATAAGGAATTGTATAAAAGCAGGCCATAGATAGTAACAAGTATTCAGTCCCGAATCAACCCTCTTAGTGAACAGGTCTAGCATTACTTTAGAATACAGTTATATAATTCTACACCAATTGTAAACAAAACATTTAATTTAAATGGTTCATTCAAGTAACGATATGAAAGTTCAATTGCAGAGTAGATGGTTCAAATAGCAGGGTGCCAAATTACCAAATTGGTATCCAATGTTAAAGAGTAGAGGCTTGTTTCCAAATTATCTTCTCTAATGATTACACTGAGATTAAATGATTGGAATGAAACAGCCAGGATTTATATACTTTGAGGTTTGCCTAGAGCGATAATAGATATATTTCGATTTGTAGACAGTACTGCTCATTTTTGTCAGCTGGTTGTAAATTGGATAAGTATCACTAGCAATGCTCACAGTACTGATGCACTGACAGAGATAAGCAGTATTGATCTAGTTTCGCATAAGCAATGTGTAGGTAGAGTGTACAGCAAAAAATTCTATCAAATTGTAGACAAATAGTGTTATTTACATCTTAAATTTTAATAATACAGTTGATTAACCTATAAATCTATTAAGACTACTTGAGGACAAACTTGAAAGGTTCTATTTGTTTGAGTACTTTGGGCAATTGCTAAATGATTGGAAAAGACAAATACAATTGCGATAAAAAAAGTACAGCAGTTACACGTATATGCAGCGTCTCTAAGTGTATTGTTCTATCAATTTTTCTCCTAACTTATCAACAACTTTCATCAATGCATCATGTTCCAGGTAGAAGTCAGGGTTAAAAATTTCTTGAACACTAGGTAGTGGGCCAATTTTTGGACTGCCCAATAAATATTAATAGAAACAATTTCGTATTTCATATGTAACAAATATTCTCGCAAACATGAAACATCATTACAACACTTAATGTAACAGATAACAATTTAGAATTAATGGCTATATTATTTTATGTTTTTTTTAATCTTTAACTGCTCTCTAAAATCAAATAAGATTCTTGCAAGGGTAGAATTTTGGTTCTCATTTTTGACTTGATCCTAAAAATTGTGAATTATATATTACAAAACTTTCAATTTTTAAACATATGTATTTTTAAAAAAGAGCAATATTTTATCTTTTCAATAAATGATGTTGTTGCAGTAATTTTCTAAGAAATTTTCCAAGAGAATATATATCAGAACTTTCATTGGTGTTTGCCTTAGCAACACTGTTGCATGCCGTTAGGTAATATTTATATTTTCCAGATTTCAGAATCTTTTAAGTGAAAAAAGAGATGATCAGAGTATTTTGTTGAATGCATGAATGTGTGAAAATTATCAGTTAATTGACCATTTCAATAAAACTTTCTTCATTATTAAGATTTTCTGGCCTAATATTGAAATGATCAAAAGCTAAATTTGTTGAGGAACAAATAATTTACTTCGTAAAAAATATATTGACAATCAATTTTTCCATCTAGAGAAATATATTTTTTGTGTAAATAGTCAATTGCAATTGTAACAGATTTAAAACAATAGAAATATCTGAATTTAGAGAAATGATCTTTGTGAAAAGTGAATTTTAAAATGTTAGTCGATTCAGCAAATGGCATGACAGAATATTTTGTTTCTTCAACCAGTATACTAATAGCTGAGAAAAAATCATTCAAGTTTAAAATATATAGAATTGATAAATGGATGGCTAATGTGTTTATTACATGTTTTCAAAATTTCTGTTTGAACATGTTCATCTAATTTAAGTTTCATTTCGTATTTTCTTTGACATCTCTTTGCAACAATTTCTTGCCATTCATTAATTGAAAAGCAAAATGGAATTATAAAATATGAAAATATAATCACGAGAACAACTATTAATAAATTTTCAATATAGGTCAAATTGAATA